CAGCCCCTAAAGCTGGAAACTGGTCCTCAGCTGGGGAACGTGAGGACTGGAGAGATTTGCATTCTCTCTCTCTCTCTTGATTTAGTCATATAGGTACAGTGGTACCTCGGGTTACATATGCTTCAGGTTACAGACTCCGGTAACACAGAAATATTACCTCAGGTTAATAACTTTGCTTCAGGATGAGAACAGAAATCGTGCAGCGGCAGCAGGAGGCCCCATTAGCTAAAGTGGTGCTTCAGGTTAAGAACAGTTTCAGGTTAAGAACAGACCTCCAGAACGAATTAAGTACTTAACCCGAGGTACCACTGTACATATTACAAATACATGTACATATTGCATATACAAAAGGGAAAAAAGAAGACATACCAAAAAATGAAAAAAGAAAGGAAAAAGAAATTTTTTAAAAAGGAAAAAACCCCAAATGTTTTCAAATATACGTCTTTAAATGGAATGCAAGACTCTTTGCATTCTCAAGCAAGTCCCAGAGGAGGAAGTGTCGGGTGAAAGCTTTATACAGATAAGCGACTTCTGTTGGCTCCTGGCCCTGGCTGGTGGTTTCGATTTTTTCAGCCTGGAAAATCAGAAGCTGTTGAAGGAACTTATTCTTCCAGCAGGACAGGATGTGTGGACGTCCAACTCCCAACACCACTTGCACTCCAGATCTGAGTGGCCAGTGAACAAAGTGGAGTCAGTGGGGGCCCAATCCCTCCCCCAAAGGCATTGCTGACCTTTGGGCCGAGTCGGATCAATTGCCCAGAGGGAATTGCTGCCTCGTCTCGTCCCTCTTGTGAGGTTCGACAAAAGAAGAGTCCTTCAGGATCAAGCCCAAGTCCAGCATCCTGTTCTCACAGTGGGCAACCAGATTCTGATGGGAAACTGGCAAACAGGACCTGAACGCAGCGGCAAAGGTCCCCACTTGTGATTCCCAGTGACTGGCATTCAGAGGCAGTTTGCTTCCTGACAGTAGAGGGAGAATGTGACCATATAGACTTGTAGCCATTGATATCCCTCTCCTCCATGAATTTCTCCTGTCCTCTTTTAAAGCCACCCTAGTTGGTGGCCATCACTGCCACCAGTGGAGAGCAAGCAAGTTCCACAGTTTAACTAAGTGCTGTGTAAAGAAGCCCTTCCTTCTGTCTGCCCTGAATCTTCCAATAGGTGGGCGACCGTGTGTTGAGATTCCTGCATTGCAGCGGGTTGGACTAGATGATCCTCGGGGTGCCTTCCAACTCTACAATTCCACAATTCTATGATTCAGCTTCATTGGATAGCCCCAGGTTCTAGAATGATGAGAAAGGGGGCAAAAACACCTTCCTATGCACTTTCCCTATGCACTATGCATAACCTTACACAGCTCTATCATATCTTCCCTTACCCGCCTCTCCTCCAAACTTTAAAACTCCCAAATGTCGTAACCTTTCTTCATAGAGGGATTTCGTGGTACAGTGGTACGTTGGGTTAAGTACTTAATTCATTCCGGAGGTCCGTACTTAACCTGAAACTGTTCTTAACCTGAAGCACCACTTTAGCTAATGGGGCCTCCCGCTGCCGCCGTGCTGCCGGAGCACAATTTCTGTTCTCATCCTGAAGCAAAGTTCTTAACCTGAAGCACTATTTCTGGGTTAGCGGAGTCTGTAACCTGAAGTGTATGTAACCTGAAGCGTATGTAACCCGAGGTACCACTGTAGATGGAGCCCTTTGGGACTGATGGGGCAGAATGCTGGGAGACCAACAGTGGGCCGGGCAAAAGGCAATAATAGGTGGCAGGGCTGGAATAACTAAAATAGGCATGTGCTTAAGGCATCTAGGGAAGGGGAGCAGCACAGACATTTTCCATTGCTGGTAATGGTCACAAATCGATCAGCTGAGTGTTCATTTTCTCAGCTGAAGTATATTAAAAATCCCAACAGAACAACTATGCAGGAAGGCAGGCTGGACGCCTCATCTCTACTAAGTACAGAAGCAGATGTGTTACGTAAGATTAGTTTGGAGGATCTGATCAAGGACTTTGCAATTATAAAAAGTAGGAGAGATTCCTCCCCCCCAAAAAATATAAAGTGGAAGAATACAAAAATAAACACTATTTTCCATTTTACTGTAGGTTCTGTTTCATTTCGAAGAATACAATTTTATTTTACAGTTTATTATTGTTTATACAGTGGTACCTCGGGTTACAGACGCTTCAGGTTACAGACAGAAATAGTACCTCGGGTTAAGAACTTTGCTTCAGGATGAGAACAGAAATCGCGCGGCAGCGGCACAGCAGCAGCAGAAGGCCCCATTGGCTAAAGTGGTACCTCAGGTTAAGAACAGTTTCAGGTTAAGAACGGACCTCCAGAACGAATTAAGTTATTAACCCGAGGTACCACTGTATTTTGAATTAGAAATACATGGGGGAACCAAAATCTTTTAAGTACTTAGGGTCTCTAAAGGTATTGATCCGGCCCTGATAGGTGGAGCCTCCTTGCTGAGTTCTGCAAGGGTCAATACGGAGACTAAGGAGGAGGAAGCTGATGGGCCAGGCCACCCTCTGGACTGGTTGCACAGGAGAAGGCAATCAGGTGGGGTCTGGCTGAGGTTGGTGGCAGCACAACATTGGCCCTAATGCACCTGCCTTCACTGGGGGAATTGCTACCAGCTCCTTGATCATTTTTCTCAATGTTTCCTAGAACATACAGCTTGGCAAGAGGCACATGTTGAACCCAGCAAACGCTGACCACAGCTATTGAATCAGCTTCTTGGGCAATACTTTAAGCTACTGGAAACGAGTTCCTGAGACGTTGGCTGCAATTTTTAAAAAAGCTGAAATGGATTTGTCTTGAGGCTCACGTCTGCCCGGAAGACACGCCCTCTTCCCTGGAAGCCCTGATCGCCACTCCTAGAAGCTGGGAGGGAAGGTGTAGTTCTGCAGCGATGAAGGGAATGCCGTCTGCATAGCTGTCAACTTACAGATTTGAAAATAAGGAACCAGCAGCCTCGAAAATAAGGGATCAGCAGCCAAAATAAGGGATTTTGCTATTGTGAAGAGTTACATACATTGGTAGGATTGACAGATGCTGTCAATCTGGCATGAGGTGGTTGTGGCGCCGTGGTGGCCGCTGAAGCACCGCCCTTCTGCGTCCCTCCCCATCCCCTCCTCTTCCTCCTCCCTCAGGCCGCTTCCTCAGCTGCCACCACTGCTGCCACCTCCGGGCTCGCAGGTGGCGTGGGCGAGTCTCTCTCCCTCCCCCCCTCTCTCGGGCGGGGAAGGGCCGATGGAACTCCTCATGCCAGGACGACGGTGCCAGCCGCTCTCTCTCTCACGGCGGAGGACCCCGAGCCGCTGCTTCCCTCCCGAGCCGGGCGATCATGAAACCCGGGAAATTGAAGGGACATCATCAATAAGGGACAGCGGGGACACAGCGCTGAGATAAGGGAGTTTCCCATCAAATAAGGGACGGTTGACAGCTATGGCCGTCTGGTGTGGAAAACAGGGCGTCAGTGACACCAGGCTTGTCCCTTGTCCCCAAGGTGTTCAATATGGTCAAGCCACAGAGTTTCATACTTCCACCAAGTACAGCCAGCTAGAACAGATTCAAGTCTGTGAATTGTTGCCTTGATACCGGGAGGCAGGTTTGTAAATGCATGGGATTTTATAGATCAAGAATTGGGAGTCTTTTTTTTAGCTCAGGGGCCGCATTCCCTTCCAAGGGCCATGTGTTGATGGTCGGTGGGGCAAGAGGTGAAAGCGGACAGAGCAATGAATGTTAATTTTTGTACTATTGTAAAAAAAAAAAGTGGTTTCTACGCACTCTCCTCTCTGTCCTGGGAAACAAGAAAACTCATCATTCAAGGGCATATTCCAGTTAGGAGAAAACACAGAGGCAGGGAGTGAAGCAGGGTCAGTAGGCTGTGTGGCCCAGAGAGTCTCCCGAGGGCCAGGCAGAGGGCTTGGGGGGTGACATTTGGCCATCAGGCTTGAGATTCCCACCCGTTACAGATGCTTAGGTATGAACGGGGTATGGGAGAGTCATTTCAGAAACTAATCAGGCTTGGATGTGAAGCACTGTACAAGCGTTGCCAAACTATGCAGGGGAAGAAAGATCCCCTGGCGTCTGCTGCAATCAGTTCGCAAACAAAAAAAAAGCAGATTTAACTGTGAAGTTTGACTAAGATGCCAGAAAGGTGACGGAAGGGACAAGAGGAAACACAGGGCTGCATGTCTGCAGTGGTTTCTTAATTCTTCGGAGACTCTCAGCTTTCATTTTTTTAAAATCACCTTATGTGGGTGATGCTCTCCCCAAAACAGGAAGTTCCCATGCAGCTCAATGTGACTTACTTCGGAATAGACACACCCATAGGCTTGCACTGTGAATAATATTCCCAGTAGCTTGTAGCGAGTCACCAGCGCCTGCCTAAGCTTTGTCCTCCTCTCCGTGAGCGGAAAACAAAAAACACCCAAGACATTACGCAAAAAAGAAGCAAGTATGCACATTTGACGTATTTGCATGATTTGGGCAAGTTGCAGAATTCACTTTGTACTGGTGCAGGATTTGGCATGCCTGGGCACAGAATTTAAGGTTTGTGTGTGTAGAACACACCACCTTAGGAGAGGCAAGAGAGACCAAAGGGGGGTAGCAGGAGATATTGTCCACAGTGGAGATGGAAGCTATGGAGACCCCATAAAGCAGCCTTCAGCAACTGGGATGCCTTTCAGATGTTTTGGACTCCAATTCCCATCTCAGCCCTGATGGGCATTGTAGTCCAAAACATCCAGACGGCACCCAACTGCTGAAGACCGCAATAACAGGAGGTCAGTCAACAGAGCAGGGATGGGGAACTTGTCAGGCCCTCCTGATGTGGCTAGACTACATATCCCATCAGCCCTGCCCCTGACCAATAGTCATACTGGCTGATGGGAGCTGGAGTCCAAGAACCCCTGGAGGACCACCCTGCATTACACAGGGGTCAATCAAGGCATCTTAAGGCAGGCCGAGGTACAAATGAGAGGAAGCAGCGGAAGTCAACATGTTTATTGAGCGGTCAGCATGCAAGTTGCTGGAACAGCCACCAACACATGCAAACTGGGGTGGACACAGCGCAGAAACACTCAAGAGCTCATGGGGAACAGGAACCAGCCCCTCCCCAGGATCAGGCCCCTGGCTTGGCACGGGCTGCTGTCCTTCCTAGTAAGAAGGGGTGGTGTGGAGGGGACCTGTGGGGCCTCCTGTTGTCGTTGCACTCCGGCCCCTATCAGTCCTAGAGGGCCAACTGCATCAGAATTGAAGGGAGCTGGAGACCAGCAATGTCCAAAAGGCCATAGGTTCCCCCATCCCTGATTCAAAGAAAAATGCTATGATTGGGGGAAGAACACATCAGCAGGAGGAGAGACACAGGAATATTTATCCTTGCTTCCAGCTTTTCCCAACTTTTCTTCTGAAGAATTGCAGTAAGGGCTACTAGAGGCTTAACCTCCTTGCACCCTTTTCCTTCCCATAGACAGGCCGATATATGTGCATAAAATACAAATTCACAATACAAATGTGAATCTTGTAATTTCCATACACGTAATCTGTAAATGCTTCCATATTCACGTTTAAAGAGCCATTACGTCTGACATGATTTCATTGTCACTTGGATTCTTGAGACTTTATATTTGGGGATCCTCTTTCCTCTGTTTTTGTTTTTGTTTTTGTTTGCTCCTGTGGGTGGGGATGCGGTTCAGGAACTGTTCCAGTGGTGTTGTGATTGCTCCCTTATGCAACTGGTTTTATTAAGTAGAAGATTAAAGGTGGCTAAAATGGGGGGGGGGGCGTTTCCAAAGGAATGAACTTTTGGATTTCACTTAGGTCCCCTTCCCAACACCAATCAACGCCATTCAAGCACTCTTGTTACAGGAGAGAGCAGTCAGACTATAGTCAGACTACAAGACAAATGTTGCCAGAGAGGAGGGAACAAAGCAATTTTTTTTGGGGGGGGGGTGTCAGAGCAGCCAGCAGGGGAAAGCAAAGGGAGCTTTTTCACCAGTAGGAAGCTGCAGCATTCAATGAAGAAATGTTTTTAAAGAGGGAGGGCACCGAAATAAAAGACATTTCCCCAGCAGTAGGAAGGCGAGGGGGCGGGGGATAGCAGCAGTTGTGAATCAAGTCTCTTCTCACTGGAGACAGAGTGTTCCTTCCATGCTGGGGGTCAAGAACAGGGAGCTCATCCTTAATAAATAAAAAGAGTTCCGGGGCAGCACATGTCCATGGATGGGCAGGGGAGTGGCAGTCAAAGACTTCAGCATCTGCGACCAATCGAGTTTGGCCGAGTCCTTCTAGCTCCTCCCACGCCCCACGGAGGCACTGCCACTGTCTCAGTGGCCAAACGGGGCCCAGTCACACCTCGATGCTGGGGTCGGAGCCCAGGCCCTGCTTTTGCAACAACTCCTCTTGTTTCATCTTGGGCTTCTCGGTCCGGGTGTGCCAGACGAGCACCTGCAAGATCAAAAGAGGTGTTTCTGTTTCAATTTCTCTGCTACTGGTTGCCCGGGTTTGCTTGTGTTTTCCTCTTCCCACCTCACCCCTTTTCCTTTTCAAACATGTACTGTTTCAGGGGCAAACATACAAAGGTTTTCCACTCACAGCGGCTACCACCGTCCACCATTATGTGAGGAAGAGCAGTAAGACCATCTGCCCTTGGGGGCGACTGTACCAACTGCACTAAATTGCTTCTTGATATCTCAAAAAGGAACTGGGAATCTGACTGTCATCAGGCCTGCCTCGTCTGAGACAAACCGCCTTAAAATAAACCGCCTTAAAATAGCTGCTGCAAACCTCCTGCTGCTTGAGGAAGTGAAACCATGTATTAAAGAATGTCATGCACACACACTCTCCCCTTGCCCTGGTCATCTGCTAAAACACCGGTCAGAATTCAAGGCAGCCTTCCCTGACCAGGTGTCCTCCAGATATTTTGGACACCAACTCCCATCAGTTGGAGACAGCACAGTTTTGTGTTGGTGGGAGCTGATGGAAGTTGCAGTCCAGGAGTGGGGAGCCTGTGGTCTTCTGTACGTTGATGGACTCCAACTTCCATCAACCCCAGCCAGCATGGCTGATGATAAATAGCTGGTGGGACCTGTAGTCTCCATGTCCCAACCCATCAGGGATCACAATATTAAATGCACTTACAGAGGTGTAAAGCAGAGATGGGGAACTCCTGGCCCTCCAGCTGTTGTTTTACTCCAATTCCCATCAGCCCCAGCCAGTGTGGCCAATTATCAGGGCTTGTGGGGTTGGAGACCAGCAACATCTAGAGGGTCACAGGTTCCCCATCCTTGTGGCGGTCAGAAATATTGTCAGGTCCGAAAAAGTTGCTGTGTGTAGGGGAATCTGTAGGGGACTCAATAGAATCATAGAATTGGAAGGGACCCTGAGGGTCATCTAATCCAATCCGCTAAAATGCAGGAATCTCAATACATGGTCCCCCATCCAATCTGAAACCATACCAGACCCTGCTTAGCTTTACAAATGTGCCAGCAGTTTTACTGATATCTGCCAACCTGCTCACCTTGGTGCAGTTGTCAGCCTTGGGCTCCAGCTCCTCAATTGACACCAGTGACTGCAGCAGGCTGCTCTCCAGGTAGCCGCGCTCGGCCAGCAAGTCAAAGTGAGCTTCCCGATTGGCCAGGAGCAGATCGAGGGCCACGGCAAAGCCGGCCATGTCCATGGGGAAGGGCCGGTTGGGCTTCCAGGCCGTGTAGAAACCCACCACTTTGCTGTTCTCCACCAGGGGGCGCTCAAAGCGGAGGCCTCCCACCAGGCCGACGGGCCACACTGAGACGCGCTTGGTCGAGCGGATCTGGTTGGGGACAGGGTGGAGCAAAGAAGGAAAAAGAGGGGGAGAGTTTGATAAAACTGCTTTTAGAATGCTTCCATTTTCTGGAACACTTTCTTTAAAAACTGTGGATGTGGGATATAAACTGAACGTCAACACCACCACCTTCTGGAGACCAACGCTGCCTGGTTGCAGCTCTTTGTTTAACAACCTGTTTATTCCCATCTCTTGTGGTAACCTGGAACCTCTCCCCAATAAAGCACCCCAACAGTCCTGCACATGCTAGTTTGCCACGCTATCTTAGTCATGTCTACTTAGACGGAAGTCTGACAGAATTCAGTGTGGGCTTCTCCCATGTAAGTCACATAAGTTAGGACTGTAGCCTTAGTATGTAAGGAGTAATTCCTTCTGTTCAACCCCACCCTCCCCTGCTGTCAGCTATGAGGCTTGCACCTATGTCCGAAGAAACTGACACAACTGCAGAACAGACGATAGATAGATAGATAGATAGATAGATAGATAGATAGTAGCGGAGTATCCACTTACTCCCACGGAATCCCACCCAAACCCCAAGCTTTGTTAAATCCCTGGGAACATGGGAGCCAGCTCTTAGGGGCCAAGGTCCCTATTCAAATTGGCACCCCTGCCTGGGAAGAGGGGTTGATTGTAAAACCACTCTGAAAATTATAGCTCCGTAAAGGGGAATAGGGACCTCCTAGCGATTCCAAAATAAAACCCCAATGAACGACACCTCCCAGGATTCTTCAGGGGAAACAATGACTATTTAAAGTGGCACGATACTGCTTTAAATGTACAGTACAGATGGGGGCTAAGTCAGAACCGATGGAAGATTTGTATTGTTAGTATCATCTGACAATGCTTCTTTCGCCTCCTCCCCATTATATTTGTTAAAATAAAAGGTTTTGTTTTTCAGAAGAAGAAGAATATGGAACATTCTGGCATCTAGGAGAACCGCAATCCCGCCGCCCCCCCAATCTGTTGCACCCCTTCCTCCCGGCACTGACTTCGTCAAAGAGGCGCAAGCTGTAGGTGTTGTCGTCGTCCGCAAAGTACACCACCGCCTTCTTGCCCAGCTCGTGGTTCTCCCGCAGCCACTGCAGCGCCAGGTTCCGCTGCTCCACCCCCCGGGGCTTCAGCCAGTTGGGGTCGCTCTCCTTGCGCTTGTGCTCCTTGGGCGTTTCGGTGTGCAGGTGCGTGAAGCGCAGGTGGCTCTGAGCCAGCAGCTCCGAGACCAGCTGCGTCTTGGCCGGCGCGTCCTCCACCACGATCCAGTGCAGGTTCTTCACGTGCAGGAGGGTCTGCGACAGGCGCACCAGCTCCGCCTTCTGGACCAGCCTGGGGAAGAGGAGGCCGGAGAGAAGGAAGCAAGCGAGAAACCGGGGGACAGATTTAGAGGGGCTCCAGCGACAGCTTTGGTAGCAGAGCATGAAGGTCTCAGGTTCAAGCCCCAGCGTCGCCAAGCAGGCCAAGGAATGTCCCTTGTCAGAAGCCCCTGCAGAGTCACTGCTAATGGTCCGACTTTGTATAAGGCAGCCTCTTAGGTTTCTATTTCACAGATTCTGTGTTTGTGGCCAAGATCTGGTGGAAGACGTTATTCACTATCTATTCATCTGTCCTTGATACAGTGGTACCTCAGGTAAAGTACTTAATTCGTTCCGGAGGTCCATTCTTAACCTGAAACTGTTCTTAACCTGAAGCACCACTTTAGCTAATGAGGCCTCCTACTGCCGCCGTGCCGCCGGAGCCCAATTTCTGTTCTTATCCTGAAGCAAAGTTCTTAACCTGAAGCACTATTTCTGGGTTAGCGGAGTGTGTAACCTGAAGCGTATGTAACCCGAGGTACCACTGTACAGTGATAGAAGAAAGATTTCTGGAAGAAACGGCTCAATTTATTTGGAGCGACATAAAGTGGCTCTTGGATTAGAAAGGGAAAATAAGATAATGTTGCTATAAATTGTTTTGGAGACTGGGAGGTTTAATCTGAAGCTGGGTGAGCTGGTGGTACTTCTGATTCTTCTTTCCTTTAGACTATCAATGTTTGTTATTTATTTGTTTCATAGAGCCATAGACTTGGAGGGGGCCACAAGGACTATTTGGTCCAACCCCCTGCAACACAGAAATCTTTTATTCTCACTACATGTGTATTTTGGTACATTATAATGTAATTGCCATGGGCTTTGGACAGCACAATAAGCTTATTGGATATGGTCCTGTTTAAATCAGACTGCTATTCAGAACCACAAAGATGGGAACCTCTGTTTATTTTTAGGGGAAAGGTCCTAACTCAGTTGTAGAGCCCCTGCCCTGCCTGCTAAAGGTTGCCGGTTTGATCTCCAGCATCTCCAGGTAAGGCCGGGAGAGACCCCTGCCTGAAAGCCAGGAGATCATCTGCCACATAGAGATGGATGAACCAGTGGTCTGACTTGGTATGTGGTAGCTGCCAGGAGCTCGTCCTACACACGAGTAGGACCCTGGGAGAGACACATGTTCTCTCCCTCCTGATCATTCGTTTGGGAGCTTCAAAAGCTTTCTTCTGCCCAAACATCACAGCGACCGATGCCCACAGACATCGGCACACTCAGGGATCCACAGAGTCTGCGCAGTTCGCGTGACAGACCTCAGCAACTCAGCATTTTGGCTAATCTACTGTATTTACATATAAACACACACGGATCACTGCAACATGGCTCCCTCTCTCTCTAGCATTAGACAGCAAAGAGAAAGAACAAAGGACAATAGTCCCACCTCATGGAACACAGTAACACAAATATCCTGCCTCCGTCACTTCCCACTCTGTGGAGTCAAAACATATACCGTCATGTGATAGACAACAATCCCATGACTGCAATCATGAAGCAGGAATTCTAACAGTAGCTTCCCGTATCTTAAGGGAAGAGCTCTACCTCAGTGTTAGAGCATCTGTTTTACATACAGATGGTCCCGAGTTCAACCTCAGCTTCTACAGGTAGGGCTAGACATAGACTCCTGTATGAAAGCCTGCAGTCGCTGTCAGTCGAAGTGTAGACAATGCTGAGCTAGATGGGACCAGAGGGTCTGGCTCACTCTAAGGCAGTTTCCTATGCCCCTGCGTCTCTTCTGATCAGCAGCACCTCTCTCACAGTCCTTCCTTCCCAGGATACTTCTTCATGCAAGTCATGCCCTCAGCTGCTGAACTATGACCCAGAACCGACACTGCCCCCTACGCCCAAGGTTCTGGCACCTTACCTAGCGTAGGTGGGCGTGACGGCATAAATGACCGGCAAGGCTTGTTCTGCTGGCTCTGGGACTTTTTCCCGCCCCTGGAGCCTCTTCAGCTCATTCTGCAGCTGAGACAGCTTTTTCTCCTTGGCGTGGATGAGGTCGCTGGCTGACTTCAGGTGCTGGGTGCAGTCGCAGGGCTGTCCTGAGGCCAGAGGGAGGAACATCAGCACACAACTGCTGCAATAATATCCATATATATACACACTGTATTGGCCTGAATATAAGCCTCACTTTCCCCCCCAAATTCCAACCGTCAAAAGTTAAAGTGCGGCTTAAATTCGTGACCTTACAAAAATGGGCTTTTACGATATCGCTGCTGAAACAGAAATATAGTAAAACGGAACAATAAAATGAACAGTCTGAAGCTTGCAAATCGGCAATAAAACATTTTATTTATGGGTGTGAGTGCCTGCAGAATTGTAGCAATTGAATAGCGATTTGCAATTGTACGGTAACTTTTGCGGGCTTGCAAGATCAAAGGCTTAAATTGGCTCGGAGTTACAATTCTACCAACCACAGCGATTTTCAGCCTGTAAACCAATTTTAAGGGAGCGGCTTATATTTGGGTATTGTATTTTTTCTTTTTCCCCCTTGAATTTTAAAGGTGTGGCTTATTTGCGGGTGCGGCTTATATTCAGGCCAATACAGTATGTATAAGAATTCTGGGAACTGTAAATAGCCCCTCACAGAGCTACAATTCCCAGAATCCTTAACAAATTCCCAGGAGAAGAAAGGGAAGGAAGCCGTATGGTGTGGATATAGCCCTGAACAATGTAAGGTAGGGTAGAGGCAAAGGGTTCCATTCTAAATTAGAAGTGGGGGACCTGTGGCTCTCCAGATGATAATATTGGACTTTAACTCCCATGAGCTCGACAGCATGGCCAATGGTCAGGGATGATGGGAGTTGTAGTTCAGCAGCACCTGGAGATTACCTACCCTATCCTAGACACATGTCCCAACCAATCAGGGATCACATATCAAATGCACTTCCAGATGTGTAAAGTTGGGAGTCCAGCAGTATCTGGAGGGCCCAGAAGGGTATACCTCTCTGCAGTAGATCATTGTCAAATTTTCTATATCCTCCTGCAGGCCATCATAAGACTATGATTGAATACAGACTTTGCTGTTTTAACATCGAGTCAGGTATTGTTTACCCAGCATTGCTAAATATCTAGCCTAATAGAAGAGTTCTGAGAATTCAAAAGTTTGCTCATAATTTGATTGGTCCTAAATAAAGGTATTGCCTGCTAATAGATATTGGAAAGTCCATTAAATAACAACAGCAGGATACCTCCATCCCTCCTTTGCTACTCACCCAGTTGCAGCAGTGCATACATCAGGCCGATCACCGACACCAGGAAATAGATGACAAACACGTTTTTTAATTTCACCTTCATGGCAGGGCCTGCAGAGATGAGCACCAAACAAAGGTCAACACACGGCTCTGTGAGTAAAAATTAAGATACCACCCACACCATACATTTAAAGCACTCTTACGCCACTTGAATAGTTAGGGCTTCCTCCAAAGAATCCTCAGTACTGTAATTTGCTAACGGTGCTGACATCACAGAGTTACAGTTTCCAGCACCCTTAACACACTGCAGGATTCTTCATGACAGTTAAATTGGTGGTGTAAACATGTACACAGAAGGACGCTGCTGCATTCTACACTAGTTGCAGCTTCCAGGGCAGCCCCACGTTGAGCGCATTACAGCAATCAAGACTTGAGGCTACCGATGTGTACAACATGGTAGTAAGGCTATACCAGACCAGGAATGGTTATTACTGGCACTCCAGCCAAAGCAGACACAAAAAGACACTCACAGGTACTGAAGCCACATGCGCTCCAGTGACAAAGACAACTCCAGGGAATACACACAGATGATGAACATGTTTCTTTTGGGAGAGTGCTACCCTGTCCGGAGTAGGCAGACATTCCAATTCCCAGAGCTGTAAACCGCTGACACACAAGATCTCTGTCTTGTTAGGATTCAATTTCAGCTTACTGGCCCTCATCCAGCCAATCACCGCTTCCAGGCACTGGTTCTGGACTTGTACAGCCTCACCTGACTCCAATGTAACACAGAAACAGAGCTGGACGTCACTGGCGTGTTGATGGCACTGTGTTCCAAATCCCCAAACAGCTGCTCCCAATGGCTTCATATAGATAGCAACCAGAACCGGGAACCAGATGCTAACATGCAGCACTCTGCGGCATAATTGCCAGGGGGCCAAGATGTTCCTACTCAGAGTGAACCTACTGAAATGAATGGGCATGGTAGGTTCATTAATTTCAGTGCGTCTACTCTGAGCACAACTGAGGTGGAGGCAACTCATAGTCACCCAATGCTACTCTCTGAAACTGGTCCTGTAAGTAGGATTGGAACCACTATAAAATGGCACTGCCAACTCACAGGACAAAGAGATTAAGCAAGAGTAACATGGTCACACTCCCCTTGCCCTTCGACCAAGGTTGATTCAGTGCTAAAACCCGGTCTAAACCTAGATAGAAATACAGTGGTACCTCAGGTTAAGTACTTAATTCATTCCGGAGGTCTGTTCTTAACCTGAAACTGTTCTTAACCTGAAGCACCACTTTAGCTAATGGGGCCTCGCGTTGCCGCCGCCGGAGCACAATTTCTGTTCTTATCCTGAAGCAAAGTTCTTAACCCGAGGTAATATTTCTGGGTTAGCGGAGTCTGTAACCTGAAGCGTATGTAACCTGAAGCGTATGTAACCTGAGGTACCACTGTTTTCTCAAAGGTGGGCCACCACTACCCTCTTGAGCCCCTTGCTGAGGAGGGGCGTATTTGCAACCAGGAGGTAATTGTCAGAAAGCAGCAGACAAACAACCACCTTTTTAAAACAGTAGGCACTGTCACACAATAATGCACTTACCACACTCTGGACTCACCTGGTCAGCCCTCTCTGGCCAGCTCAAGGAAACCACAACAGACAAGGATCGAAAGGGCATGTGTTTAGCCAAATGATTCAATGTACTTTGTCCACATCCTCAGGCCTCAAAAGCTGAACCTGATCCCATAAAGCCAGACTAGACAGTGCACTGGGCACCTCAACTGGACTTGTCATAACCATGCCATCTAAGTAATGCAAAAACGAGAGATTTTTTTTTTAAAGTTAACAAGATTTAAAAAAAAATCACTTAGCCATAAAAACCTCTAAACAGTTTACATAAAATATAAAGGGTTGCATACAGTGTTAGTCCTGCTCAGAGTAGGCCCACTGAAATTAATGAAACTAAAAACTATTGATTTTAGTAGGTCTGCTGTGAGTAAAACATTGTTGGATACAACTCAAAATACACATTAAATTATCTATAGTATCTGATGATAAAAACAAGTTAGCCTAATTTATTTTCAAAAGGAAAGTAGCAGTTAAAAAAATACATACTTTATAAAGTAAAATTATGTCCTGATATGCATCCGAGATTAACATGTCTGCATAGGCTTGCTTAAACAAAAAAGATTTTAGCAGGTGCCAAAAGCAGTACAGTGAAGGTGCCTGCTTAATATCACGGGGCAGGGAGTTCCAAAGTGTAGTTCTTATCCTCAAAGTGCCTAGCAAATCTATCTCAGTAGCCTGTTTCACTGCCTACAGCTCCTGGGAATGCCAAGAAGCAGTGTGGGCTCTACAGCATCAGGAGCGATCATGTTTGGACCCTCACATCTCATCATTCTTTAGAGACCAGGGTTGCCAGCTCTGTCTAACTGTCCAAATATCCCTAAGAGCATTCAAGAATCCATCAAATCCCATGACAGCCTCTAGGGATAGAGCATCTTAATGGGTTTCCCATCTCTGTAGGGAGGAAATGTTGCCCAAACCTTTACCAGGAAACCATCTGGCCAAGCCTGCAAGCTACGTAAATGCCTCTGGAGTTGCGGAGATGGCATCTGAGCACATACAGAGTGCCTTCACGTCTCTATCAGGCGCACTCCTAGGACGAGAGAGCAAGGGCTTGCTGGCTTGTGGGATGCAAGCACTCCTAAGCCCCTGCAACCTCTTATTTTAGGAACTCCGAAGCCCTGGTGAGATCTCTCTCCCTCTTTCCATGCTAAAGCCCCTCCCCTTCCCCTTGCAGTTACTGGGCAACCTTCAGCACTGCAGCATCATGGAGGCTCCGGGCACCCCTTGAAGCAGAGCCTCTCCATCTTCTCCTAGGAGCGCAGCAGCAACCCCACGCCGACGCCCCCCACCCCCCCGTTCAATACCCCACCCCCCGTCTCCCCTCTCCCGGCATGGGAAGGGAGACGGTGTGACACCGTTGCTATGGCGACGGAGCAAAGGCCGGGGCTCACCACGCTTCTGTTACTGCCACCCGAGGCGAAGGAGGGAGAAGGGTTAGGGGGACTAGGATCCTCAGCTGCTCAAAGCCCCCTTCATCGTATCCGGGGTCCCCACGGAGTCCCCCGCGCCGGCCAACACAGCACTTCCGGTCCAGCCGCTTTTACCGTCCTTCAGAGGTCCCTTCTCGTATAGGGTCCCCCGGCGCAGCTATTCCCCGCCTGGCCCGTTCCCCCCGCCTCCTGATTGCTTCATGCCTTTTCTTCTGAAATGTTGAAATCCGTTGAAATGTTTTCCCTTGGTTCGACTGTACTCCGTTTTGTTCTCTTCTGCTGCGGTTTTAGCTGTTTCGTTTCCAGATAGGGTGACCGCGTGTCTTACTTTGCAGAGGACAGTCTACTGTTTGAAGGGCTGTCAAGAAGAGGACAATGAGCCCCTCACAGAGCTTCAACTCTCAGCACCTTTAAATATATAGTGTGGATGTGATCCAAATCCAGATTAAAGAGAATGCACCCTATGAAGGGCTTGAACCTGTGCATCCAGTTAGCACCGCTACTTGGGACAGTGGGTGGAACAGGCACAGAAGTCATCTGGTCACCGTGGAATAAAAAAATGTAAGGTCTTATATATATATATATATAATAAATGTTCATAAATGTACCAACCAAGCATGTACATAGATATGTGGACCACATGTCTGGAGCAGCACAGGAAGACTGTCCTGAAACCATTTTGACCATAGCTGTCAACATTTCCCTTTTTTAAAGGGAAATTCCCTTATTCCGAATAGGATTCCTCACAAGAAAAGGGAAAAGTTGACAGCTATGATTTTGACTCCCAAACTGACCAAATGTTTTCTCTGCAAGGAGGGAGGGGGTGAGGGAACCTTTCCATTGCCTCAGGAATTGGGTAATCACCATCTCAAAGCAATGGCCATACTACCAGGAAAGGCAATCAGATAAAGCATTATCAGATAACCTGGCAGACAGGAAAAACAAAAACATTCAAATTTCTGTTGTAGACCGCCTTTTCTGTGATGTAGGTATGATGTTTGTGGGGGGGGGGTGGTCTTGAGCTCCAGGGCAGGGAGTTTAAAATGTCTTTATAAGGGCAGGCACACCTTGGTTCTGGGTCCTCCTCTCTCCTGTGTGTGAGGGGAGCACCCTGTTGCAACAGCTTTAATAAAGATCAGGCTTACTAGCTGCTTTGCTTCTCAATATTCTCTGGTTGGCCTCTGTTATTCTCTCCTACCAATGGTGAAAATACAAAGGACTCTATAAAGGGCTCTTGTATACCCCATAAGGGAATAAGGGCAGATGTTGTTTACAAGTCTTGCTCCCCATGCATATCTATTTAAATTAGAGCAAAATGTTTATCTAAATTGGCCATTTTTATACAAACCAGTGTCCTTGTTTGTGTGTGTGTGGGGGGGGGGGAAGGTGCCATGCTTAAAACTGTTGCAGTAAAAACAGCACAAAAGGTCTTGCACCTTAAAGATTTAGCAAATTTATTATGGTGTCACATTTGTGGACCAGGTAACACTTCCTCAGATCAAAAACTCATTTTCTTATTCCTTTTTTCTTTCTCATTCATACATTTATACCCCACCATTTTCTCCAAGGAGCTCAAAGTAGCATACAAGATTCTCCCCATATTTATTTAATCCCCACAACTGCCCTATGAAGTACCGTAAGTTATGGTTGAGAGGCTGTGACTGGCCCAAGGCCACCAAGCGAGAGCTCCCTGACCAAGTGGTGATTTGAACCCTGGTCTCTCCAGACATAGTCTGACATAAGCTTTTGGCATAAGGTGTTTTATTGTCACACAGTTATGGGGAGACCCAATATGGATGATGTAAAGGTGGATGACCACTGGGTGCAGACTTTGCCCATGCAAATTCAACAGAGAAAACAAGGTTCTATGGAAGAGGAATTGTAGCTAGTTGTTTAGTCGTGTCTGACTCTTCGTGACCCCCTGGACCAGAGCACGCCAGGCACGCCTGTCTTCCACTGCCTCCCGCAGTTTGGTCAAACTCATGTTGGTAGCTTCGAGAGCACTGTCCAACCATCTCGTCCTCTGTCGTCCCCTTCTCCTTGTGCCCTCAATCTTTCCCAACATCAGGGTCTTTTCCTGGGAGTCTTCTCTTCTCATGAGGCGGCCAAAGTATTGTAGCCTCAGCTTCAGGATCTGTCCTTCCAGTGAGCACTCAGGGCTGATTTCCTTCAGAATGGATCGGTTTGATCTTATTGCAGTCCATGGGGCTCTCCAGCACCATAATTCAAAAGCATCAATTCTTCGGCGATTAGCCTTCTTTATGGTCCAGCTCTCACTTCCATACATCACTACTGGGAAAACCATAGCTTTAACTTATCCCACATGGTCTAAGGCAGGGAACATGTCAGCCTCTACATGCTGGACTCCACTCCCATCAGCCCCACCTAGCATGGTGAACAGAAGAGATGCAGCTCAGTGACAGAGGATCTGCCTTGAATGCAGAAGGTCCCAGGTTCAATCTCTGGCATCTCCAGGCATGGCTAGGAGAGACCCTGCTGAAAGCCAGGATATGCAGTACTGAGCTAGATGGTCCAAAATGGTCTGGATAAGAAGGCAGCTTCCTAGGTGCCAGGAATTCTGGGAGTTGGGAGTCCAATAGCATCTGAAAGTGCACCATGTTTCCTTCCCTGCTATAAGAAACTGGTCCAAATGGCCAGAGTTTCCTGGCCACCACCCTCCAAAAGGGGAGGAAATCCAAACACAGCTCAATACAGTGGTACCTCGGGTTACATACGCTTCAGGTTACAGACTCCGCCAACCCAGAAATAGTACCTCGGGTTAAGAACTTTGCTTCAGGATAAGAACAGAAATCGCATGGCGGTGACGGCACGGAGGCAGCGGGAGGCCCCATTAGCTAAAGTGGTGCTTCAGGTTAAGAACAGTTTCAGGTTGAGAACAGACCTCCAGAACGAATTAAGTTCTTAACCTGAGGTACCAAAAAGTTTTATACGTGCTACTATTATGAGGTTTTTCTTTGCTCTCATGGCCTCCTGACTTGAATACACTATGCATCCATGCAGCAAAATAGGCGCCTCTGACATTGTCATGCGTAATCTATGGCAGCTATCAAAAGAAGAAAAAACCAAAATGCTTATTTTTAATGGTTTTTTTATTGTCCATCTTTTATCAAAACACCCAGTCAGTGAAAGCTTTATACCTGCAGATGAAATCACAATCAAGAAAGCATGGGAGGAGAGGAAGTGTGTGTGTGTGTGTGTGTTAAAGAAGGGATTTTGACCATTTTTTAAAAAAGAAAAAAAGACTCGCTCTGGGCCTTTTGCCTGCAAATGCACGAGGGAGAACCAGCCAGGACCAGGAATGTTAATCCACGTACACACACAAGACGGCCAAGGCCAAACGCAAGCCAGGCAGCCTAGCCTGAGAGGGGACAGGAGCAGTGATAGCTGGAAGCAGGAGCGGGAGAGATGGAAGGCATAGCGAGAAGAGTAAAAAAGAAAAAATCCTGCCCGTCCTACTCCACCCCAAGGAAGATGGGCCCCTCTCCTCACTTTCTGGCAGGAAAGGGGCCTGATTTCTTAGCAGCTTCTTTCCCCGCCCACCTGCCACTCTTGTTTTTTCCTTTCCAGATTTCTGTGCAGGACAACACCCCCCCCCCGCTCCACATTCGCTTTGGCTTGCTCTCATAACCCAGGGCCTGGTTTTCTAACCAAACCGCAGCATGCCTCCCCTTTCCCTTCACATGATCTGTCTCATCTACCCTCCCCCAAAGAAATTATATAAATAGAAGTGCCAGTGATTCACTGACACCAAGATAACCCCCATCCCCACTCCCGAAAGAAATAGAAATCCCTTCTCACTCACAGTACTAAGGGGGGGGGAGGAGAGAAATAAGAAAGTATTGGGACTGGTGGGTAAAAGAGAGCGTGGGAAGAGAATGGCCACGATCTAGTTCAGGTGTGGGGAACCTGATGCTGCTGAACTGCAACTTCCATCAGCCATAGCATGACCCATGACCAGGGATGATGGGAGCTGTAGTTCAGCAATGCCTCAAGGGCCAAAGGTTTCCCACAAGTGAGCTAGCTGTACATGTTGCCCTGTTGTTTATGGCGAATGGCGGCATGGGGCAGGGAACAACGAAAGAGGGAGTTCTCCATACATTCACCTGTTGGCAGGGAAAAGGTTAAAAGGCAACCCCTGCCAAGGTCACTCGTTTTGTGGTCAGTAACTGGAGCCAGGAATTGGTTGGGCAGGAGAGAGATGAAGAGGGAAGTGGAGATGGATGGGAAACGGAGGAGACCAAATCAATTCTCCCTCCCCTCTGGAAAGGCCCAGCCCCTCAAAATGGTTGGTCCCAACATTGCAACTCCAGGGAGTGGGGTGGCGTGGGAAGGGAAGAGATCTTTCTTGGCCACCACCCCCGGCAGAGGGGAAACAAGAGTCTCAACCAACTCCAACCCAGAGATTCTTCATTCTACAGCAAATATTGCTAAAGTTAATCTATGGAACCACACGCAGGGGGAAAGAAAGAGTCCAAGCCAGGATCGGAGGGGAAGGGGTGGAAGCGATCGTCGCCCCCGCCCCCTCCCAAGACATGCCTGAGTGGTACAGGATGTTTGACTTGAGCCCCTGCAGGGTGGGGAGCACCTAGCCTTCCCTTCCCACATGACCGCGAAAGGGGAGGCACCCCAGAACTCCCCAACACTGCTTGAGTGTTTCCTTAGCCCTCTTGTCCAGCTGAACCCCTCTGCCCTCCCGCCCTCCCGCCCAGCCTCGTGGCATTATCGCAGGGAAATGCTCCAGTCTGCCCCAATGTTGACTGCAGGTTTCCGGATGGTTAAGACGGACGTTTCAGCTTCGTGTGTGAAATCCAGGCGAGATTCTGCAACATCTTTTAGGATTGGGGGAGAGAGAGAAAGAGAGATGAGGTGAGGTGAGCACAGCTGAGAAAAAGAAGTACTGTCCTTTCCCAATAGAGAACAGTTTGAAGTCGGGTTTAGCTCAAGGATGGGGAACCTGTGACCCACCAGGTGTTGCTGAACTACAGCTCCCATCAGCCTCAGCCAACAGGGCCAATGAGCAGGGATTCTGGGAGTTGTAGTCCAGCAACATCTGGAGGGCCAAATATTCCCCCATTGCTGTAAATCTTAGCTGAAAGTGCTCCGTAGATTAG